GCAAAATATTTTAAAAAGTCTTTATTATAATATTATTTATTGAATTATCTTTAAAATATAAATAAAAAAATTATGAAATAATAAACACATGTCTTTATTAGTATTAATGAATAGCGATTGTAATAAAAATTACTATTATTTATTATAATTGAATTTGGAATAAAATTAAAGATAGTTACAGTATGTTGGTAATATGTTACGAACATATTTGCAGCATGTGTTAGTATGCTATTGTATTTTACAGGCGCCATCTTTTGGTACAAAACTAAATTAAAATGTATTGTATTTTCTAGTACTATAGTACTAATACTATACTTCTAATATTTTGTTATAATATGTTTTAGTTAATATATATATATATATCATTTGCACAAATATATTTATTATTCTTGATGATACATACAAGAACTTTTTGTACTTTTGTAAATTTCGCACTTCTTTTTTTGATATCAAATAAAAACTATTTTTTTATGGATCACGATTTATCGATCAAAATAAGTTACTTTAAATTATATAATTTCTAAAATATGGCATAATATGTAATAAACTACGCCCCTGTGTTTCGAGCTTCCATAACAGTATTGTAGATGGCGTATCATTCTGACAAGTAAGTGAACCAAAACTGTCAATTAGTGTATTTTTATACAGAATAGTTGACGTATTAATTTGGAAACGTTTAAAAGTATTCCAGTTGAAGTATACAATTATGCTTATCGTGGCCCTAGTATCTTAATAATACGGACATTAAAAAAAACGTTAAGTAACATTGTGGTTATGTGCGTAGTGACACTATACGTCAGTGACATTACTTTAAACAATTGATTTGTGTTCAGTTATTAGCACTTAAGTGTATACTGCGATAATGGAGGATTTCAAAAGTGAATTTGACGAAGCCCTGAACAAAGTGGTTAAAATAAGTTCCATGAAAATACACGACTACAGTGAATACAAGGAAGTGTTATGTCGAGTTGCCAAGGCCAGGAATAATGATTTTAGCGATTCGAAGGGACGAAGACTTGTAAAAATGTACAAAGTTGCGATAATCGATGGGGAAAGTAGGCTTATACCAGCTAATAACGCGAGTACGAGAATTGTATGTTACGTGTACATGGAAGAGATTTATAGCATTTTACAAGAATCGCATATCCGTTTGAACCATGGCGATTGCCAAAGTATGTTTAACGAATTAAAATACAAATACGTAAATATTACCATCGATATTATCCAGTTGTATCTATCATTTTGTAAAGCTTGTCTGCCGAAAAAAAATACCGCCATGAAGAGCTTCGATGAAATTATGTACCAAGAGATGAATTCCAGATGTCGTTTGGATATAATAGATGTTAAGCCTCATTACGACGGAGATTACAAGTACATATTTAGCTACGAAGATTATAAAACAAAATATTGTTTTTTGCGACCGCTGAAGTCTGTGTGTCCAAACGAAGTTGCAACTATAGTTGTCGATATTTTT